GCGGACGCGCGCGCTCCCTCGCCTCCCTCGCCTCGCGCGTCCCGCTCGCTCCCTCGCCTCGCGCGCCCCCCCCGTCATAAGGTCCTACTTCCCAGCGCGCGACATCGTCTCGGATCGGAGGACGTCCTCTGCGAAGCACGACGGCGCGCGGGTGGGCCACCGGCGACGTGGCGGCGGCCGCCGCCGCCGCGAGCCAGAGCGCGCGCGCCGCGACGTCCTGGCGACGACGAGAATGCCGAGCGGCGCGGCGGAAGCACGAAACTCCAATTCCAGCTGCACGTTTACCGCACGTTGCACGCTGAAGTGCCGAAGCGACTCGAGAGAGCATGGCGGCGCCGCGCTGGCTCGCGGGCCTCTGGCTCGTCGCCGTGGCGCGCTGCTCGGACGAGGACCGCGGCGGCCGGCGGCGGCCCGTCGTGCTCGTCGTCGCCGACGACTTCCGGCCCCAGGTCGGCGCCTTCGGCTTCGACGACGTCGAGACGCCGCACCTCGACCGGCTCGTCGCCGGCGGCGTGAGCTTCACGCGCGCCTACGCGCAGGCGCCGAGCTGCAACCCGAGCCGGACGTCGTTCCTCACGGGCCTCTACCCGGACGTCACGAAGGTCTTCTACTTCGAGGGCGTCGCGCACCTGACGATGGGCGCGCGCGGCGAGCTCGACGTCTTCACGCACCTGCGGTCCCACGGCTTCCTGACCTTCGGCGTGGGCAAGCTCTGGCACTGGGAGCCCGTGGGCCACCCCTTCTCCAAGGTCGGCGGGCCCTACTTCCCCGAGCCGGGCACCTACGACCAGGAGTGGGGCTGCGCCGACGGCGAGAAGGACGGCGGCCGCTGCGCGCCGACGTCCGGCCAGCCCTTCCTCATGGGCAAGGTCTTCCCGACGGACGACCCGGCGCCGTCGCTCTTCGACTACCGCGTCGCGTCGAACGCCGTCGCGAAGCTACGCGTCGGCGCGGACGCGTACGCGCGCCAGCGGCGGCCGTTCCTCCTCGGCTGCGGCTTCCACCACCCGCACACGAAGTGGCGCGTGCCGCGGCCGCTCTACGAGAAGCTCAAGAAGCGGCGCCGCGTCGCGGCGCCGGACGCGGCGCGGCGGACCGTGGGCGCGCCCGTCCACGCCTTCGGCGACGTCGACCGCGGCGCCGGAATCGACCGCCGGTTCGGGACGTCCCGACCAAACTTCAGAACTCTCGATCTCGGTCACATCGAAGTCGATTCGGCTGATGTTTGGACGAATCGATTGCTCTCGTCGAATGCTCGAAGCACGGCCGAAGAGTCCGGCGCACTCCGTTCAATCACGCGCGCGTCGAAGTCGGGTCGAAGATTCGAGTCCGGCCCAGGTCAACCTCGGCCCCGAGGGCCAGTTCGTCGACGGCCAGCGCTTCGCCGTGCCCCAGCGGCCCTGGCGCCCGGGCAGCGACGCCATGCGGCCCGACGCCGCCGTCGAGCTGCGGCGCGGCTACCTGTCCGCCGTGACGTTCATGGACTCGCAGCTGGGGCGCGTGCTCGACGCGCTCGACGATCTGAAGCTCGCGAACGACACCGTCGTCATCTTCACGTCGGACCACGGCTACGGTTTAGGGGAGCGGGGCCACTGGGGCAAGGGGAGTTTGTACGAGATCGACGCGCGCGTGCCTCTGATCGTCCGCGACCCGCACCAGCCCGCGGGCCGCGGCGAGTCCTGCGCGCACCTCGTCGAGCTCGTGGACCTGTACAAGTCCGTCGTCGACCTCGCGAACCTGCCGTTCTCCCGCACGCTCTACACGTGGCTCGAGGGCCACTCGCTCCGGCCGTCGCTCGCGCGGCCCCGGGGCCACCTCCGGCGCCGCGACGTCGCGATCACGATGATGCCCAAGTGCCTCGGCAAGGCGACCGAGGCCGACAACACGCCCTTCTCCTGCAACGACAAGAGCTTCACCTGGGGCCGCATCATGCGCGCGGGCGCGGCGCCGCTCGTCGGCTTCGCGGCGCGGTCGGAACAGTACCGCTACGTCGCGTGGATGCGCCTCAACGCGACCATCGACGCCGTCGACTGGTCCGCCGCGCCGGCCTTCGAGGAGCTCTACGACAACGCGAAGCAGCGCGACGACGACTTCGACTCCGCGGACACCGTGAACCTCGTCGCCGCGGCCGACGCCGCGGCCTTCGACGACGTCCGGCGGACCGCGGACCGCCACCTCGGCTGGCTCCGCACGGCCGCGCGGGACCGCTTCTTCCGCGCCTTCGGCCAGTACGCGCACCGCATCCACAACGAGCACCCGCTCATCCCGGACGGCGCGACGCTCGACCCCTGGAAGCGGGACCGCTCCGCGGACCGCATGCCGAAGCGGGACGCGCCGCAGAAGCGCGGCGGCGGCGGCGTCTTCGGCTTCGGCAGGCGCGCGGGGCGGGAGATGTAAAAAAAAAAAGGTTACGCCGCGGCAACTGCCGCCCGCGGTTGCCGTGGCGCAATCTAGGGTGCGGCCCGAGTCGGGAGGGCGACCTCAGCTGCTGTACCCGCCGTCGCTGTACCCGCCGCCGCCGCTGTCGTAGCCGCCGCTGTCGTAGCCGCCGCCGCCGCTGTCGTAGCCGCCGCCGCCGCTCTCGTAGCCGCCGCCGCCGCTCTCGTAGCCGCCGCCGCCGCTCTCGTAGCCGCCGCCGCCGCTCTCGTAGCCGCCGCCGCCGCTCTCGTAGCCGCCGCTCTCGTCGTTGTCGTGGGCCTCGTCCTCTCCCGCATCGCCCGCGTCGTCCTCGGAGGCGCAGTACTCTTCGACGGCGAGATCTTCAAATTCCTGGAGCGCGTCGTAGTCGTCGTCCTCGTCCTCTTCGGAGGCGCAGTACTCGTCGACGGCATCTTCCTCGAATTGTCGCTGCGCGTCGTCGTCGTCGTCTTCCTCCTCCTCGAAGGCGCCGACGGCGTACCCAATGCAGTACTCGTCGACGGCATCTTCCTCCTCCGCGACACCGTACCCGATGCAGTACTCGTCGACGGCATCTTCCTCCTCCTCCGCGACACCGTACCCGATGCAGTACTCGTCGTCGTCGTCCGAGAACCAGTCACCAAAGGTCTGCGGCCTGTCGACTCGCAGGAATCTGTCCTGGTCCTCCGGGTCGAGCTTGCGAAACTCGACGTCGCAGAGGTCGTAGTTCTCGCCGGCGAGGTGCCAGCGCGTGCCGTAGATCGGACCCCCCGACGCGTCGCACGTGACGCCCCGGTGGAGGACGCCGCCCGCGGTCGCGCCCGCGGCGCGCCGCTCCGGTCCGCTCCGCGGGGCGTCGCTCGTCGCCGAGTCCGCGCCGGCGCCCAAAGCCGAGACCGTCTCCGCTGGGACTGGACGCGGCGCGCGGCGGAACACGCCCGCCGCGACGGGCTCGACCCGCACGACCTTGATCTTCTTCGGGTTCCGGAGGCACCACTCGGGCCGGCTCGACTTGCTCGTCCGCCGCGCGCGGCAGGCGTCGTAGCCTTGCTCCTGCCACGTGCGGTCGTCGTGCCTGGCGTGCTTCACCTTCGTCGGGTCGATGCGCACCGTCACCTCGATGAGCGCGCCGTCGCACGAGCCGTGCCAGTTGGCGCTGCGCGCGAACTTGAGCGCCTTCTCTCTGTCGGGAGCGAGGTAGACGCCGCGGCCCAGGGAGCCCCGCTCCGACGGCGCGAACCCCCACCGTTCGATGTTCCGCGCCTTTTGGAGCGACGTCCCGTGGAAGAGGCGGATCGCCTTCTTGGTGCCTGCGCGACCGCCGGAGAGCGCGAGGGCAGCCATGCTCGGGTCGGGGAGCGTCCGAGGAGCACCGTGAGGGAACGCTGCACGATACGAAACTTCCGGCAGCCCCTCCCCAGCCATTCATAGTTCCTTCGCGCCCGCCGCCGACGACGTCGGCCGGCCTTCCCGCTCGACAGGACACCGACGCCATGGCGGAGGACGTGCCGCTCGAGGAGCCGCCGGAGCCGGCGCCGGAGAGCTCGTCCGGGGGCTTCGCGCAGTTCATGTGCTGCTCCACGGACAGCATGGACAAGGACGGCTCGCGCGCGCCCGTGGACATGTTCTGCTTCAAGGGCCGGGCCGAGGAGGACGTCGACGCGCCCGTGGACCCGCCGGGCGACGACGACGCGACGACCGACGCCGCGTGCCCCGGCGACAAGGGCGAGGCCTGGGCCGTGGGCGCCGCGGACAAGGAGGAGGCGACGTGGGCGCGCGAGGGCGCGGACCAGGCGCACATCTTCGGCGAGGCGCCCGCGCCCGCGGCGGCACCGGCGCCGCCGCCACCGGACGACGCCGCACCCGCGCCGCCGCCCGCGCCCGGCAAGCGGCGCGCGTCCATGGCGCCGAAGCCGGCATCGGAGAAGAAGCGCATGTCCATCTTCGAGGCCATGCAGGCGTCCGTCGCGAGCGCCGCGGGCATGGGCGCCGACGACGAGGAGGCCGTCGTCCTCGAGGCCGTGCTCCACAAGAAGGGCAGCGGCGGCGGCTTGATCTTCGGCAAGTCGGCCGCGTTCAAGAAGCGCAAGTTCGAGCTCGTCAAGCGCTGCCCTGCGTGGAAATCTTCAACCCGACGTCAATGTGAGCGTATTCGAATGTTTTGACACAAGCGCTTCAGCTGGGCTTCGAGAGCTCGACAAGGTCAATCGATCCGTCCAAAAATCAGCCGAATCGACTTCGATGTGACCGAGCTAGAGAATTCTCAAGTTTGGTCAGGACCACCCAAACCAGTGGTTGGTTTCCACACAGGCACTGCCGCGACGGCGAGGGCTGCGACGTCGGGCCCGTGCTCCGCTACTACGACGCCGCGGGCGCGCACTTCAAGGGCGCGATCCTCCTCGACGGCTGCGAGGTCAACGCGCTGCCCGCGGCGACGCGGCCCCAGGACAAGTTCGTCTTCGAGGTCGTCTCCGGCGAGCGGCGCAACTACGTGCTCGCGTCTGCGACGGAGGAGCTCCGGGGCGAGTGGCTCCAGAAGCTCGAGGAGGAGATCTCGCGCCACTCGGAGATCCTCTCGGCGCTCGCGCCCGAGGCCAAGACGAAGCGCCGCGCGTCGATCCCGGCGCGGGACAAGGGTGCGACATGCCCAACTTGCAAAGGCTCCGATCCCGGCCGGTTTCCACTCCTTTCGGCTGATGTGTGGACGAGCGATCATCTCTCGGAACGGTCTCGACGCATTATTTTTCCGGAACGCGCGCGCGCGCGGAACGCTCGCGTCGAAGCGAACTCGCATCACCCTTGTCCCGCCCAGGTCGATCCAGAGCGCCAAGGCGGCCGCGGACGAGGAGAGCGCCGAGGCCGAGGCGGCCGACGACGACGGCGACGCGCCCGAGGAGCCGGCGGAGCGGCCGCCCCTCGAGTCGCCCGGGTCCAAGAAGGGCTCCATGTTCAACCTCTTCAAGCGGTCGAGCTCGAAGGACCTCGGCGCGGGCCCGCGCGGACGCCGGCCGCCGGCTCCGGGGGCGTCGACCGAACGTCGCGCCTCTCGCGCGCGGTCGCGTCGACGTGGCTCGGACGGATCGACGGCGCCCCTCGAGGGGCGCGACCGACACGCTCGCGTCGCACCGTCCGCGCGCGCGCGCGCCGGCGTCGTACCCAAAGACGCGGCGCGCGCGCAGGCAAGGGCGAGGCGCTCTGCGCGGGGCCGCTCCACTACAAGACCGTCGTCAAGTCCATGTTCGGCGGCTCCAAGGCCGTCTGGAAGAAGCGCAAGATGGAGCTCGTGCCGTCGTCGTCCGACGACGTCGGCCCCGTGCTCCGCTGCACGAAGACCAAGGGCTCCGGCGACAAGAAGGAGGCCCTCTTCCAGATCGTCCTCGAGGGCTGCACGGTGCGCGACGACGACGCCAAGCCCACGAAGAAGGCCGCGGCCTTCGCGATCAACCACGCGACCTACACGGAGCCCAAGGTCTTCTACGCGGACGGAAACGACGAGCGCGACAAGTGGACGGAGCAGCTCAAGGCGGCCGTCGCCGACTACAAGGAGAGCCTCGCCAAGGAGGCCGAGTCCGCGCCCGCCGAGGTCGCGAAGAAGACCGAGACCATCAAGAAGGCGCGGCGCGCGTCCCTCACGCTCGAGGAGAGCGTCGCCCACGTCGACGACGACGCGGACGACGGCGACGCCGCCGCGGGCCTCGACTGAGCCCGCCGGCCCCGCGCCCCCCCACCCGCCCACCACCCCCACCGCCGCGATAGCCGCGGGTTCACCTCACACGCGCTCGTCCGCGGCGCGGCCGTCGAGGGACGCGGCGAGGCCGTCCACGAGCGCCGCGGCGGCCGCGGCGTCGGGCCGCGCGGCCGGGTCGGGCGCGAGGAGCGCGCGCGCGAGGTCCTCGAGCGCGGCGGCGAAGGCCGGCGCGTGGCGGCGCTGGGGCGCGCCCGGCGCGCCCTTGGGCGCGCTGAGGGACCGGGAGTGGCCCGCGTCGACGAACGCGAAGGTCCCGTCGTCGCGGGGCTCGGCCTCGGAGGGCCCGTAGCCGTAGCAGAGCGCCCAGGCGACGCCGCCGAGGGCCCAGACGTCGCACTTGCCGTCGACGGCGTCGCCGGGCTGGGGCGCCCAGAGCTCGGGCGCGCGGTACGGCGCCGTCGTGTGCTCCGCGGCCTCGTCGGCGAGCGCGAGCGCCGCGCGGCGGTCCCCGAGTACGTCCGGGATGCGCGCGCAGGAGCCCAGGTCCACGAGCACGGCGCGGGGGCCGTCCAGGAGCACGTTGTCGGGCTTGACGTCGCGGTGCGCGAGGCCCGCGCCGTGCACGTGTACGAGCGCCGCGGCGACCTGGGCGGGAAAAGAGAGATTCGACGTCGCTTCAACGTGAGTTTCCGGAAAAAGCATCCACGCTGCGAGACCGTTCCGAAAGATGATCGCTCGTCCAAAAGTCAGCCGAAACGAGTGGAAAACGGCCGAGAAAGGAGCCTTTGAAGTTGGGAAGTTCGCACCCTTTTGCTGCCCTGGCGGCGACGTCGGCCAGGACGGCCGCGGCGGCCCGGGGCGCGAGGGGCGGCGCGGTCCGGTTCACGAGCCGCGCCTCGAGCTCGCCCCGGAGGCCCCGGTCGTAGCGCGGGAAGACGAGGCCGTAGACGCGCGCGCCGCCGTCGCGGCGGACGCCTGAATCCAAGAGCCGGACGACGGATTCGTGGGCGCACGCGCGGCAGCTTAGGATCTCCCGCTCGGCCCGCGCGGCCTGCTCGCGCTCCTCGCAGCGGAGCTCCTTGACGACGACGCGCGCCCCGCCCGCCGCCGTGCCGCCGAGCACGCGGCTGAAGCCGCCCTCGGCGACCTGGCGCCCCACGGACACCTCGAGGCCGCCGTCGAAGGTCACGGACCGCTCGACGCAAAACGACCGGACCCAGGCGAAAAGCGACGCCAGCCACTCGACGAGGGCGCGGCACATGGCGACCGCGGGGGGCCGACGCCGACGCCGACGCACCGGCGCAATGGTCGTGAAGTGTGGACACTGCCTTGAGATGCATCTTGCCTGCAAGTGCAGGTCAACTTAGAGGCTACTTAGGTAAAAGACACCTCGCGCGGCTCCGGCCCCGGTCTTCGCGAGCGGCCGGGGATGCCCGGTGGCTCGACGCGCCGGACAGAGGCGCTCGATTCGGCGGGAATGACTCGCCGCTTCCGCTGTCGCTGGCCGCGAGTAGCGAACCGCGCGCCGCGGCGACCCGCCGCGGCGCGCTGGGGACTTGGACGGAGACTTCCGTGGCGCGCTTCGCAGAGCATCCGAGCGAACACGCCGGAATCGTCCGACGAGCGAGTCCGGTGCTTCAACGTCGGCTCACATCGCCTCTTTTGTGAAGAAACAAAAAAATCTTAATCAGGCGACGTCAAAGGCCAGTCGAAAAAATGATGCGGTCGTCGCAGGCCCAACCAGGCCAGAACAGGCGAAATCCGCGAGGTCACTTTACGCGTACGTTAACGCCCCGCCGAGGCGCGTAGACGCCCCCTAGACCCCCCGGAGGCGTGTGGAAGGCGCGTGCGACGGGTGGTGTACGCCAGTCGCCCTCGCCGGCCGCGGCCGCACCGTGGTCGCGCATGGTCGTCGGGCCCGGCCGGCCGTAGGGCTGGCCGCTGCCGTAGCCCTTCGGCACCGGGCCCCTGGGCGACCCCAAGGAGGCGTAGTACAGCTTGATGGGGTCCCGCACGACGACGTCGATGAGCTTGGCGGTGCTCGAGCTGCTCCTCGACGAGCACGCCGTCAAGTTCCGGATGCACGCCGCCACGGGCCCGTGTTGACGGTTTTGTCACTCGAGCTTGGGACCACACATCATGACAAGGGCCTCGACCGTTCTGGGCGCGGCGCCGCACCCACGAGGCCGCTGCGCAGCCGTGCCGCCGACGACCGTGTGCCCAGAGAGACCGTTTCGACGCCCAGAGCGGCCCGTGCGACCGTCTTCGTGGCGTGACACGATGGGCCTGGGGATCGGGCAGCCACGCGGCAGCTTGCGCGCGTGGCGCAGGCGCAAGACGCAGCGCTTTCGGGCGCCGAGGGGCGCCGCAGCGCGTCGAGGCAGCCCGTCGTTGGAAAAAAGATGGCTAAAAATCCATCAAGATGCCGAAGCGACGACAAACTTTGAAGAAAACCTCGCCACTTTGAGCCCTAGGTTCACGCCGACACCCCTGGGTTACCGCCCCGGGACCCGGGCACGTCCCGGGGCACTCCGGCAGGAAAGGCGGCGGTACCGGGGGCGTACCGCAGCTCGTCGACGGTGTATTTTATTTTTTTTTTTTTGGATTTTCGGCCGCGCGCGCACGCGCGCGCTTCCGCGAGGTCGTCTTACACGGTACCAAGGACGTCGAAAATGAATTCAGAGTCTCCGAAATGTATTTAGGCGTACGGGGTTCGTCCCGATTCGTCGCGGAAAGTGACCTCGCGTTTTTGGCCTGGCTGGGCCCGTGACGACCGGATGGCCAACAGCACCTGTCGGGGAGCTTAATTCGACTCCTCCCCTGGTTGAAAATCCTGACTGGGCTCGACAGCTACTCGACTGAAGAACGCTTGGTCAGACTCCTCGGTAAGGTTCTTCTTTGCAAATACACAGAGTGTTTCATCATCAAGGAAGTTGGAGCATTCATTAGACAGCGTGAAGTTGAGGCGTTCGGTAAGTTCCTCCCTTTCTAGAGCTGGCTTGATCTGAGATCAGCCCCCCCAGGCTTTGCTCGTTTTGTCAGATCTGGGCTAAAACGCGTCTTTCGCTAGCCGATGCAGCGGTTCCAGGACTTGGCGCGGCGCTCGGTCTGTGGACCTTGCCGCGCCTCGGGCCCGGGTGCGAGTCGCTCGGGAAAGACCATCGGTCGAAGGCGAGCAACTTAGTTCGCGTCGGGGCAGCCCGTGGATGACGAGAACGGCCGTTAATGGTGGGGGGCGACCGACGAGAGGCCCAACTTAGTTCCAGGGCTCGAGCGGGCCGCGGCATCTCGAGTAAACACCGCCTGGAATGTCCCTCCCGAGTGGCCTGTCAAGGTTGCCGCGGCCCGAACGCCGCATGCATTGCGCAGTGAGCGCCGTGTCACCCGCGGCGCCGCGCGCCTCCCGGAGCCGGTGAGGTGATCTCGATCAAATCGGCTCGAGCCGAAGGGCTGCCGCGAGGGCATCTGATCGCCCTCATGACGAACGATTCCCGACGCTCTGTGACTCGAAGGCGACCGAAATTCGGGTCGGGGGAAGCTGCCGCGCCCCATTCCACCCCCTGAGGCTGCCCGTTTGCGCCA